AAGAGAGACGCCCTTGGTTCTCAGATTGGCAGGAACATGGAGACTGGCACGAAGTTTCCGGTGACCCGAAGGGGAGGAAGAGGATGATGAAAAGAAGAGGTTTTGGGCTTGTAGAGTTGCCATGATCACGGAGATCCTTGTCTTCCGTCGGCTCTGTCAGATCGCTTGCCGAAGAGGCGATGGAGTTAAGCTGCTATATCTATCTGAGTCTTGCAAAGTATTGTAATGAGATGAAGAGGAGGGGTGTTATGTGGTCTGTATATATAGTTGTGGTGGGTGGTTGAATAGTTGACCAAGTAAGGCTATTTGAATCAGTAGAATGGAAGAAGGCGTCAATGTCAGTGCGTTGGACTTTCAAATAGTTGGAATGGTAGACTTTGTCGCCATATCGGTAATGAATTATTAGGTGGATTAATTATGTCACCCTGGCAGTTTTTATGGGTGATTCAGTCCGATACATACTGAATTATTTGTCGGATATTGGCTCGGTCAGGTCTTCATTTGGTCATTGGTTGAACCAATGAGTATACAGATTGAATCATATGTTAAAAAATATATAATATGCTAATAATAATATTATTTTTTATAATTTAGTGGGAGAGAAACACATTGAGAGGAGGAAAAAGTAATAAATAAAATATCATATTCTAAAAATGATTTAAATGCCCCTCAGAATTTAGATATATTTTATAATAAATTAAAAATGAGAGTATTTAATAGTAAATTGATAGAGAAAGTAACGACGTAAGCATTACAATATCTCGGCTCATCCAATCAGGAATTATCACCTTGGCGATGATATAGGCAGAAGAATCCACGCCCCTCCGTTGTTGTTGTTGACAGGAGCATGATCCATTGACCCCGGCCCATCAAGATCTTCAGGAGGGCCACACGAGCCAATCGCACGGTACATTAATCCCCGACAACAAGGCCCATCTCTCCTTTTTCCCTTTTTGGGTCATCTATCGCAAGCGACTTGTTGCCCCCAATCAACCATGATTTTATGAAGGTCAGCCATCAACAAAGAAGTGTGCCCACTAACCATCAACATAAATAAGCCCCTGGAGGACGTAAGGGGTACCCTGACTGATCGTCGGCCTCACTCCATCGGCCGCTTAAGTATAAAAGCCAACTCCCCAAAAGCCTAAAAGGGAAGAGAGTTCTATCATTTTTCATCTCCCAACTAACTTTACTATCGGAGGGGTCGAGTCAAGAACATCCCCTTGAAGTTGACTACTTGTGCAGGGACCTCAGTGAGACTAAGGCGCACCTCAGGATGACACCATATCTGCCTCTAGGAAACAAGCAACGCCTCGGGATCGCTGTTAGTCAGGTCTGCTCCCCGCACCATCCTCCTCTCGTGAACCCTCGTGAGCCCCTAGGAGGATCTTATATATTCGGGACCGAACCAAGCTGTGTCGACTCCACGGTCAATGACATCAAGGCAACAAAAAGGATCAAATGATATAATTAATCTAGACTTCTTGTATTTTGTGACTATGCTTGAAATTGAGATTAATGTAAAAAATAATTAAAAAATATATTTAATTTGAGATAGAAATTAATG